AGAGAGAGAGAGAGAGAGAGAGAGAGAGAGAGAGAGAGAGATTTTAGAGTCAATAGCAGTCGAACCGCCATGAAAATGACCAACATATTGTTAAAATTTCAAAATAAAGTTTAGTTACCAAATAGCGAAATTTCATGTGTCAAAAGTACATCTTTAAGGTACATATATTGACCAAGGAAAAACAAGTAATAGTTTATTTGCAATTAAGATATTCTTCACCAGTTACTAAACATGTAACTATGATAACATGTCTATAGAAAGCTGAGATATAAGAGAATATAATCCCATCTGTACTAATTTATTCAAGCCTGTTTTTTACATGAAAAATCAGTATGCAAATTGAGTCTATTGTCCATCACTTGGTCTAGTTTATGTAAAAAAACAGTGGAATATTTAGCCACAACTGGGTTTTTGAAAATAAAGTGAAAAAAAGCACATACCAAATGCATATTTTTTGAAAAATGTATTTTTTCTCCTTGGTTAGCAAGTTACAGCTTTGAGTATGGTCTCTTAGTTGCTATCAATATCAAATTATTTTACTATGTCAATTAAAATGTGCATTAATGGAATTTTTCTTTTTTCTTTCGTTCTTTCTCATTTCTAGACTTGGATGCAGTTCATGTTGGCACATATTAAATAAACATTGAACCCATTGTGTAGAAAACATCACCCTTCATATGCATGTGATACAGAAAAAGAAGATAACCATAGCAACATGGATGTCATGAATCATCGTGAGGAAGTACACTTACAAGATGATGACAAACAAGAAGAAAAAACTATGATTTTCTTGAATGATGATAGAAATCATGATGTAATTACCAACTTGAAACCTAAAATGATGATGGACAAGAAGAATAATGATAAATCTGATAGTGATGAAGAACATCACAAAGATGAGAATGGCTGCCACGGTGATGACGATTGCAACTCTGAATTTGCAGCCTCTGCACTGGGACAACCTGCTACTGCAGATGTTAAAGGAAAATGTGATAGTGATGTTTCCATGGTTACAGATGGTTGCTGTGATAGCAGTCATTCCACCTCCTCTTCATCAGTAAGGTCGGAAGAGTTGCATGATGATGGTGATGATGATGAGATGCATTGTGGGAATGCAAGCAGCCATGAAGATATGCAAATGAACTATGATGATGTCAGAGAAGATGTCAGGGGCAGTGATAGGAGTTCATGCAGCCAGGCATCCAAGGAGAGTTTGGATGTACATAGAATGGATGAAAATGAACAAAGGCATCTGGAAGAAAAAGAAAGCTTTTCGGCATCTAACAATGATATGTTTAATGAAGAAGAAATATATGTAAATGTTGAGGACAACCTGAGTACAAAACATCATGCACAAGACAATTCTAGGATAAAAAACAAGTTTACATTTAATAATAGTTTTCCCAGTGAGAGTAGGACACCTAAGAATTACCACAACGGTTGTGTACCATCAAGTGAAAGTCGGATACCTCAACCTGTGCAAAGAAGGTCCCTGAGCAGTCGATTCAGAAGATGTGCCAGTGTCAGTAGCGAAGGGTGGAATAGAGGGTCGGTTGACTCGCTGTCTGCAAGACAGAGATCACCAATTGAGCAGCCCGACTGGGTGGTGTTCGAGAAAGATGAAGGAAAATTGATGAATGCACAGAGATGTCTTTTAGCAAGACACGAGTTTGCAGCAACGCATTACTTGTATGGGACAAAATCGAACACAGTTCGCCAAAAAGATGTGGGACGGTGCAGTAGTTTACGTAGTCTTATAGATATGAGATCTGATTCGGAGCCAGTGCAGAAATCAACATTGAAACGCCGGCGAAGTTTGAAAAGTCCTTGCATTGAGAGAAGAAGTCCAGAGGCAATTTTGACAAGCCCAGATCTAAGACATGAGAAATCAGAGATGAAATATTCTGAGATGAAATGTACAGATTTGAGAGCAACAAGTCCAGAGTGTAAAACAAAGAGCCCTGATATGACCCATAAGAATCTTGACTTGAAACGCATGGAACTTAAGAAATCAAAATCATTGGAGAAGTCTCCATTTGGGAACCCGATGGATTCCAATCCATATGGAGCTTCAGTTCCGTATATGACTCCGCTCCAACAGAAGGAGAGACAAGTTAAAGAGCTGAACAGGAAAGTGAGAGAACTTGAAGAACTTCTCGAAAATAAAGATGAAGAGATTACTTACTTAAAAGAGGAGCATAAAATTGAACTTGAAACATTCTTTGCTGACAAAGAAACCGAGTTTGAAAGTTTGAAAGAAGAAATAGAAAAACAGAACGATCTCTTAAAAGACAAAAATGAAAAAGTCATTCAAGAATTAAAAGATGAAATTCAGGTAATTATTTACCGTACTTCCCCGAGTATAAGCCCCTCCCAGAGTATAAGCCCACCACTCTGTTTTGGGACATTTAACAAGTTGAGGGCATCCCCGAGTATAAGTCCAGGGTGTTTTTACCAGGCGTCAACAACATTTATTAAAATATACATGTGAAAAGTGTATTTCATTGCATAAAAATCATGAATTGGTACAGTAGTTTGGTTCCAGTTTTTAAGAGAAAACTCGCATTAATTAGAGTGCACGGCGAGTGAACGTATGTGACGGAACATAGTTCGCATGTTTTCTATTTTGTTATTTACTCGAGATGAACGCCGATGTTGCAATACTGAAATAATCCATATTTCTTTCGAGTAGTAGTTTTCCAAATGGCAAAAATGTGATCGTCAAGTCGTGAAACCTGGTCACTGATCGTAGTTTTCATTTTCCGAATAATCTTGTCTATTGAGACTATCGTGAATGGAGTGTGATCGACTCAACTTGTTGGTAGCCGTGAAAGGTGTGAATACTTCCCTCACCCTCAGTTTACCTTTGCAAATGAAATGCTGCATGGATTTTCAGTTAGGCAATGAGATATTACTAGCAGTGTAGCCAGGCATTATATAGTGCATTTATATATTGGACACTCACCTAACACGCTTGCTGAGGCCGTTTTTTTTCCCCATTCATATTTGCCATCCATTGAGGCTTTCAGTGAGTTTTGTGTTAAATAAACTGCAATGCAAATGAGATGCTGCATGGATTTTCAGTTAGGTAATGAGATATTACTAGCAGTGTAGCTAGGCATTATATAGTGCATATATATATATATTGGACACTCATCTAACACACTTGCTGAGGCCGTTTTTTTCCCATTCATATTTGCCATCCATTGAGGCTTTCAGCGAGTAATGTGATAAATAAACTGAAATTCAAATTAGTCCAGCTAGTTTTTTTAGTAGAGAATTGTAGAACACGTTTGACGCTACTAACTACACTTGTGTACATAGAACTGAAGAGAACACTGGGGCAGTCTTCAGTTTTGAGTAAAATGCTGGGTATCTTCGGGGGCGGAGCTACGTCACAGACGTTCTACGTTGCTAAGACGCGCACCACTGTACCACGTATTTCTATGGGCTTTGTGCGCGCTGCTGTGGAACGCCGGTGAAAACTCGAGAAAACAACACAAACTCAACTTTGAAGTAATCCTGAACAACCAAATTCATATATGTTACACACGTAGGGCTAATCTTGTTACACTGTTCAGGGGACTCTCAACAACCATTGCAAAGTATCGTTTTCTGCGAGTTTTTGGTTTTTGTTTTCACCGCGAGGGTTGCCAGGCGGTAGAAAATGTCCGGATGTCCGCCCCCGAGGATTATATACTTCTGATGCTGTTCATTTAATCAATGAGTAAATCTTAGTATACTGTAAACCGATAAATATACACAACTATCAATTCTTGCAATTCGATAACGTGAAGACGAAATTTTGAAAAAGTCACTGTGAATCATTGTCAAGTTTCCCAATAAAATGAGCATGGTAATCACCCCAACTCACGAAATTTGTGTCAGGTGAGATTAGAAATTATGCAAATTAGCAAATTAACCAAACATCTTTTATCTTTTGTAATATATGGTGTCAGGTGAAATTAGAAATTATGCAAATTAACCAAATATCTTTTGATATGCAGATGTTGGAAAAGGTAAAAAATGATGAAATCTGCAGAAGAATGGATACAGAAAAGTCATTGATCGAAAGACAGACTATAATCGAAAAACTTGAACATACAATGAAGAAAATGGAGGTTGAATACAAGGACCGAGAACACCTGCATCAACACCGGTACTTGGAAATGTATAAAAAGGGACAGCTCGCGCAAGAGATGGAGATGGAGGAGAACATGATATTGGAAGCGGCGAAGAACCCACAGAACAAGAATGTGAAAGATTTACTTCGAAAACTTGAAAAGACCCAGATCGAACTCGAAAAACTCAAAGAATCACGACGAAAGGAGATATATGAAGAAGCACCACATATAAAAAGCGATCCGGAAGCCATAGTTGAGCTACTGAGCAGCTCGTTTTATTATTACTTGATCGGTCGGGATGCCAAGACTAATCTCCGAGCTATTATGTCGATTTTAAACTATAGTGAAGTGCAGAAACGAACTATTTTGAATTCGCTGAAGAAAAAAGAAAAATAATTAAATTTTGTGATCCATATATATTGTATATAGCATATGTAATTCCCACTGTGTCTTCTATGTTCTATGTCTGGTGCTATATATATTGAGTTCCTAATGTGGTTTTTAAAAGTATTTATATTCTGGTACTGAAATGCACGCAGATTGTAGCATTTGTAGTTGGCTTTCATTTCAAGAGACAAATTGTTACCAATTTCATGGGTCAGGGAAGATGATAGTGATAATTTCACAAGTGACTTCAAAATTATATCAACATTTTAATAATTATTCACTACTACATTTACATATACCTAGTATTAGGGTGACGAGAAATCATAGGCAAATGGCTGTTAATATTACTTTAACCTTTTCACCACCAGTTTCCTCTTTTCATCACAAATTCACAAAATAGTCCTATTTATAGTCTGCAATCTCCTTCAGAAGATTGGGACGAAAAACACCAATTTTTTGAGGGGAAATGAAAATTGACTCAAATTTTGTATGTTGGGTTCGAAATTAAAATTCATTTCCAGAAATACTGAAGAATATAAAAAAAAAAGGTACAAAAAAATTTAGACGAGAAAGTCTGGTGGTGAAATGGATAAGTGGGAGAACCAAGAAGACTGATTTTTACCCCTCAAATAGTGTGCAATACACTCAATACATTGCATCAATTGTTTTCCTGACCTGTGTAACCACGGCAATCATAACCAAAGTAAATGGAATACTATTTGAGGGGAAAAAACAGATCTTGCTGCGCTCTCACTTTCAACAGGATCTTGGTGCGTCTAAGGTCAATTGTACAAGGTTTGCAAAGTACATATTGTGAACTGTCACAAATATTTTGTTATATTCAAAATATTTATCTTTTTAGTCTCTTGCCCAAGAACATAATTTGTCAGCTAAGATGACAAAAAAAATGAGTAACAACTTATCAGTTTACTATTTCAGAAGTCACTGTTTGTAATATGTTTTAGAGATGTCAGCTCAATAATATTTTATTATATACATCTGTCATTGTAAGTTACACCTTACTGTAATTTTGCGGTATTGCATCTAAATCCTACTCAATTAGGAAATGCAAATTTCAAAAATGTAATGAAACATGGTATTTCCAAAATGGTGAATGTGTTTGAAAACAAAGTTCCAATTTCTGTTTATCGTCTTATGCTATGTTCTGTTCCTTCTTATGCTAATTAGTTGGGTCGGGAAGATGTGTACTAATAAGGTTTACAATGAGAATACCACAATCTATGCACTGCATATGCATAGGTCAATACTTCCTCTATATTGTCTTCAGGTATATTTGTATTACTCCGTATTATGCTTTGTTTACTTTGATGGAATTAATTATTGTGCAGTTGAACATCAGTGTTTACTTTTTGAATGTTCATCGCTAGTAATATTCGCTGTATCATCTTGCAAGGACAACACTTCACCAAATTCCACGACTCCCAATTCTAAAAACACCCAATGAAATATTCACTGCAATTTCATGAATTTCTCTTGAAATTGAAGCCGTTTACAGTACTCTTAGAATTACAGTTGCACAAATATTGTGTCAATGTAGGTAATTTTTAATTAGTCTCATTTACCAATCATATATTCTGTTGATGATGCCATACAGTTTTGAGACATTTCCGACACATTTCGTTTCAGCATTATGCTGGAAATTTAGCATTGATATTGCACTGGGATTTTCTCCCAATAAATGTTAGGCTTTGTGTTCAATCTATTGTGAAAGTTTGTTTATATTTTATAGGATGTGTGTTATAATTGCACATTTTTTGGTTATTTATGTTGCATAGTATCTGTTGTTGTACATGTTTTAGAAAATGCATCCAATTTTGCCAAGATTGCTAAATTATTTGTGATCTCTGGAATTGCATGCAAGTCTTGTATATTCATAAGTGAAGGGGGGGCTGCTGTTGCTGAAAGGTTTGTAACCCCCAAAACATTGCAAGCTAGTCACAGAGAGAAAAAATATTGGCAAACTTCAAGAAAAATAAAATTGTATAGACAAGACATCCCAACAAAAAAACTGGTCACACTCTTCCACCCTACATGATTTCAATTGGTTGACCCTTAAATGTAGGTATACCGTAAAGCAAATCTTTTTAGTCAGTTTTAATGTTTGTCTGAAAATGTCTTAAAAAACAAAAAAAATGCTGTTGTGAGATTTGTTTTTCAAAGTCTGATGAAACAGTGGCCTGTACGGTAATCAAACATGTAAACTTAAGGGAATGGCTACCATGAATATACCAGATAAAAAATTTTTTTAATATTTTTCTTTATTGAAGGTATGGTGTTAAAGCGTGTTAAAGCGGGGGAGTTGTCACCTGCGCATGCGTCAGTAGGCCATAGCTTGTCTTTGTTTACAAACAAGCATCTACCCATGAGTCTTTGCATTTTTAGCATGTGTTATGTGCAGGTGATGACCCTCCCTCCCGCTTTAAGCCATGTAATTATCCTTCATTGAGTTTCAGTCTTCCTGCAGTTATCGGCGACTTTGGTTGTACAAGTCAGACCTACAATCCCCATGATGTTGAGAAGACTCTCTAACCATTGTACCCCATGAAGTTGCATGATTAAGATCACAATCGATAATATTTATAACTTTTTCACCAATTTTTCCGATTTTAATATCATGAATTTGGAATTTCACTGATTTTACTTACAGTAAAATTGACAACACCAAAATTGGTTCTGCTAGATAACTAGAGCAATGTTTTCATCAGATATTTAAACCCAACTGTGGTGGTAAAAATTTGCATAATTATTCAAAACAGAGAATGGAATTGTCACTGCAGAAACTACAAAACATTGAAAATTTGTATGATTTGTGAAAATACATAATTGAAAATTAAATCGATAAACAATAAATCATGTGACCTTTAAGAATGAGATAAGGCATTCTGACATAATTTCCTGACAAATCTAGTTAAATATTCACAATGCACAGTCGGGTCATAGATTTATTTATGCGTAAAGCAGCATGAAGAGATTTTGTAGTTGAGCCTTCCGGGGACTAGTGATTTATTAATAAACCTTCCCAGAAATGCTGTAGTATTGTAATAGTAATACATTGTATTGTAATGCATAGAATAATGTAAACTAAATGTTATGTTTAATCTCAAACATTGTCAGAGTCTTGCTGTATATATGTGTGTGTTGGTGTAGAAGTAGAGCCAGTAGTCCAGACATACACAAAGTGGAGCCCCAAACATGGGGCTCCACAATGTTTCATAATTTATATTTAATCAAATTTAAATCAGGTTTGCGA